GTATTCTTGCAGTATTCACGGAGAGCTCAAGAACTCAAGTAACCTCAGACCCTGAAGGAAATTTGGTGGCATAAATTACTCAGTTTAGTCATCTGTGTTATAATTCAGTTATGTGTTTCTCAAGGGTTTTGGCAAGGATTTAAAGCTCTATACAGACTCTGTGATTCTTGTCTTCCTGCACTTTCTAGGAATGGTGTTTTTTGATTTGGCATCTGACCCTGAGGAGTACATTCTGGATGGTTCACCCTCTTCTACTTCTAATATCAGTTATTGATATGTAACTAGAGTTCTAGAAAAATTGGGCCTTTCTTGCCCAAGTTCTTAAACCCTCACGGTGAAAACTGCTCACTGCACAAGTCCCTCCTCATTCTTTCCTGTACTGGCCCATTAGGATCCAGGAACTGATACCAAGTGCTGGGAATAAAACTGTAAACAGGACAGACAAGTCTCAGCTTTCTTTGGAACTTCAGTTCTGCTGAGAGAGAGAGAGAGAAACAAAAATTTAAGTTAATACAACTTGATTGGTGTTCCTGGCCCCAATCTGGGATTTTTGTTGTTGTTGTTAATCCTCACACAAGGGATATTTTTTCTATTGATTTTTAGATAGAGTGGGAGGGAGAGAGGGGTAGAGAGAGAGAAAGAAACATTGATGTGAGAGACACATTGGTTGGTTGCCTCCCGAGCCCCACCGGGGCCTGGGGAGGGATGGGGATCAAACTGAGACCCTTCGGTCTGTGCTCTAACCACTGAGCACACAGTCCAGGGCCTGGGATGTTTTTTCTGCATGTCCTCTCTGCATCCTTCCAGGGGGTGGGAAATGGGGGCAGGCGCTGTATGCAGTGCTACAGTAACTAAGCGCTGGGATCAGAGTCAGAAATCTTGAGTTCAGTTTGATACTGGCTCTGCCACTTTAAGCTGGGTGAGCAAGTTGTCCAACTTTTCTATGTCTCACTTTCTTCATCTGTAAAAATGGAGATAATAACAACACAGGCTTTGTGAGGATTAAGGGCTTGGCACAGAATCTCTACATAACACTCAATACCTGCCACTACTCTTCTGTATATAGTATTCCTCGAACTTTCTTTTTCCAAAGCGCTCTTTTCCAGTGCACAGCCATCCCCCACCTCCCACCCCTCTAAAAATGAAGGAGGGAGCCCTGGCTGGGTAGCACAGTTGGTTGGAGTGTTGTCTGGAGGTCATGGTTGTAGGTTCGATCTCCTGTTTGGGCACATACAGGAAGCAAATAGTGAATGCATGAATGAGCAGAACAACAGCCCTGGCCGGTGTGGCTCAGTTGGTTGGAGCATAGTCCAGTATAACCGAAAGGTTTTGGGTTCAACTCCCAGTCAGGGCATTTACCTAGGTTGCAGGTTCAGGTTTGATTCCCGGTCGGAGTCTGGGCACTTACAGAAGGCAACCAATAGATGTTCCTCTCTCTCTTCCTTCCTCTCTCTAAAATCAATTTTTTTAAAAATGATGGAGGGAGAAACAATGTTGGGAAATTTCTATCTTTTCATCATTTTTTTTTTACCTAGACATTGGAAAGAGACTCCCAGTATATGACTTGAGTAGATCCCCTACACTCAGCTCACAGAATTCCAGTTTGCCATTGGAATATGTCTTGCTCACACATTTGAATATGCTTCACTATTTTTTATAGGAACTTCTCCATTGCCTGAAGGTAATTCTGTAATTTAGCATAACTTTGGAGAGGGGGGATATTGCAGGACACGCCTGTCACCCAGAAGCTAAGAACTAAACAAGCATTTGATTACTGGAAGTGCCCACATATTAATGAGAGTAAGTTTAACAGGACATATTCCTCTTTGATGGTTCTGCAGTCCTACAAGACTGGGGAGGTGTGTGATGGCCACAGAAGACCTAGGGTCAGCACAGCAAAGATGGCGTCTCTTTTTCTTTCTCTATAGCACCCAGCATGTTCATTCCCAGGCACACAGGAAGAGCTCACTCAACACTACCTGCCAGCTGTGTGCTACTCGGTAAGTTACTTCATTCCTTTGAGCCTTAGTAGCAAATAAATACTATGCTCGCTTATAAGGCTTTGTGTGAGCAGGAAATGAGCTAATAGTAAAGCCCCACACAGTGCCTGACACATGGCTGTTGGTTCTCTTCCCCTTTCACTTCTTGTGTAGTTCCTAACCCCACCCCCACCCCGCCAAATTACGTTATTTGAGTCAGGGACTTTGTCTGCCCACTGCCTAGCACAGGAACTTCCCCTAGTGACAGTTTCAATTTATTCATGCATTCAGTGAATCTTTGAGTACCTACAGTGGACAAAAGCTTGGAGTTGAGAGAGCAGGTTCATTCAAGAACCCAGCTAATTTACTATGACCAAAGAAGCAGAGGCTTCCAGGAAGAAATGATGAGAGAGAGCTAGAATGGTTAATCTGGATTAGTTTTTCGTTTGGTGTGTTAGAGAGAGAGAGAGAGAGAGAGAGAGGGAGACCGGTTTGTTGTTCGATTTATGTATGTATTCATTGGTTGATTCCTGTACCTGCCCTGATCAGGGATTGACCCCATAACCTTGGTGTATCAAGGATGATGCTCTAACCAACTGATCTACCTGGCCAGGGCTGGGTTAGCTCTTAAAGGGTTTTTTGGGTCTTATACAAATTCTTGGACTTTATCCTATGAGTCGAGGATTACCACTGAACCAAAACGTGGCAGAAACTTTTTTTGTTTTTATTTTAGAATGGCTTGTGGTTCTCAGATTTTAGTGTGCTTAGGGATCACCAGGGACGCTTGTTAAAAAGGAGGAACCCCAGAGCCACACCGCCTGAGAACATTCATTTAAATCAGCACCCTAGCCCTAGCCGGTTTGTCTCAGTGGATAAAGCGTTGGCCTGTGGACTGAAGGGTCCCGGGTTCGATTCCGGTCAAGGGCGCATGCCCGGGTTGCAGGCTCAATGATTCCCAGTAGGGGACTTGCAGAAGGCAGCTGATCAATGATTCTCTCTCATCATTGATGTTTCTACCTCTCTCTCCCTCTCCCTTCCGCTCTGAAATCAATAAGGATATATTGAAAAAAATAAATAAATCAGCACCCTAGTTGATTCTGATTCACTTAAATGTTCAGGTACAAGTGGGACTTACCTTAAAAGAAAAAGACCGGTTAGGAGGCTAATGCAGTAGCCCTGGGGAGAGCTGACTTGAACTTGGGCCTTCCTTGGCTTGTCTTACAGTTAAGCCTTAAGCCTCCTCTGTCCCATGGAGGACCAGCTGGAAGCCCAGCAAATGCTGCCTAAAGGAGACATGTGGTAGGTATTAGAAGGCAGCATACACACGCCTCGGAGGTGGACTGTACGGGGAGTGTGTGAGAGAGAGGACGGGGTCTAGGATGCCCCTCTCCAGCCTGGAGCAAGGTCCTATGGGAGTGCCATTCGCCGAACTGGACGGAGGGAGAGGGGCAGGTTGGAGGAGGTAAAGCGAGGAATTTCCGTTGAGATTTGCTGAGTTTGAGGCGCCTCTGGGCCATCGGAGTGGAGATGTTCCAGAAGCCAGTTGGATTTATAGGTTGGAAGCTCAGAAAGATCCGGACTAGAAATAGAGAGTTGAGAATGATTAACAAGTAGATGGGAGTGGAGGTGGGAGAAAGGGTCTAGAATCTAGAGTCTAGAACACAGCCCAGGGAACATTTTAAGGGCAGGGCTGAGGAGGAAGAGGAATGCGAAGGGATCAAGGACGCCGCCCAAAGCCGCAGGGAGGGCGCTCAGGAGGAGGGACGGGCAGGCTCGCTGGACGCGGCCTGGGCGCGTGACCTTGCGGAGAGCAGCGGCCCTGCGGCTGCGGGGCCGGATGGCGGCAGATTGCAGCGGCCGAGGGGAGTGGGAGGCGGGGGAGTGCCGACGGCTGGCAGGGCCCCGTCTTCGAGACGTTTGGCCAAGAACGGAGAGAGAGATGGTGGCAACTTACGACAGAAATAGAACCGCGTCTTTTTCTGTGCTGACGGTGGAGCAGAAGGAAGTACAGAGATAAAGGCTAAAATAAAACCTACTGAGGGCGAGAGGGGGACCCTGCACAGATGTTGGGATTTGTTCTGAAAGCAGGAGGGACCAGCTTCCATGTTTTAACCGGACGGAAGGAGGAAACGATGGGCCGGATTGGAAACCTGATAGTGGGCCGTTCTCCCCGCCAGGCCCGGAGGAGGGAGTTTGGGGGATGAACATTCCCCACCTCAGCCGGCCCAGGTGCGGGGTTACCGGTGCGGGAGCAGTCACTGCGCCAGGCAGGGACTTGGTGTGAAGCGGGTTGAGGCTGAAGCTTTAAAATCCAAAGGATGAGAGGCTGACCAGGAGGAAGTGTGATGCTCCTCTGACCCTGAGGAAAACTGCATGTGGGCCAGTGAACAAGGGTGTGTGTTTTCCCCTAGAACCTCGTGCTGGGGCTACGACTCAGGCTCCCCCTTCCTCGTCCAGTCAGTCTGCCTTGCCCGGCGTGTCTCACGTCCAGGCCTCAAGTCTCCTCGTCCTCAACGAGGACCAGCTGGAAGCCATTTTGATTAAGCTCCACCACAGAAGGACAAT